ACTGCAGGGGACTCTGCAAAAAACGCATCTTCGCACGGGCAGCCCGTGCGTTGGCCAATTTTTTGCTTAAGATTAGGCGAATGTTCGAGCAAAAGCCCAAATAGAAAAAAAGGAAATTTAAGCAACACATTTCAAATGTGTAAATGGGCAAAAATTGGTGCAGCCAAAGTTTCATTTTCCCAGTTTTTATTATTCCAAGTTAAATTATCCAGACAGGCAAACACATCCGCAAAAACGCACAAATGACGTCAGGATAATGGGCAAAAATGCAATTTTACCAAGATTATATTTGCCCCAACATCTATCTGGACAATTCTGGGAGCTTTGTCTGATTGTTCAAAATTACACAAGCTGAAAAGTTTTGGCCCAAAGTAGCAAGCTGAGCCTCTCCGTGTTCTAAGCTGTTACCTTAAACTCGAAAAAAGGTGTGTTGCGATTTTAGTCAAGAACGAACATTTTGCGGATTTTATATCATGGAAATTGTAAAATTAATGTTTCTCTATCAAATTTCATGTATCGTTGTGTTTAGACTTACGGACATTGGCCTGAAGGAACCTTATGTTGCAATCCCATTGGGAGGCTATAAGGCGGGAAATTTTTAAAACTAAATTTCAAAAATGGAAGATGATGGACATGAAATCAGCTTTCAAATCCCTCTTTGCTTTGATCTGTGAATACAGATCCAGATCAAACTGATATTTCGCACTTACCCTTCTTTTTTTGTTACTTGATCCTTTTTATACATACATGTATACACACATATATAGAGATAGGGGAAGAGAGAGAGAGAAAGTTTCATGTATTTTTTTCACGGAATGCAAAGTGCCAGCATGCCCGCAGGAAGATTGCAGATAGACGCTGTTGATTCGAAAGAAACTGATAAATATTAGGACAACTGCCTTTTACTGCAAAATCCCACCATCGAGTATGTTTTCAAAGTGTCGAACTGGAAAGATAATGCCCATTTCTTCAGTACTAGCAATGTTGAAGGCAATGACATACGAATGCGGAACGCAGACACTTACGAAAGATGAAAAGCGAGCGCTGGCTGTGATGCAGAAAGCGATGGAGCAAAGAAGCCTTTATGACTACATAAACAACCTTTCGAATCTACAGCAGATGATCGGCGTGCGGGATGTCTTGTGATCAAGTGAGGAAGTAAAATCTGATCGGTAGGATATTTTGCTCACCTCACTGACAACTGCCGGACGTTACCCATTAGTGAATGGTACCAACAAGGATAGGTAGGATCCAATCAGGTGAACCCGAAAAGGTGGTGTACATGTGTAGTACAGGCGATTACAACTACTGTGGAAATGCGCAGCTTGCAGCAAATGCGAAAATGTATAAAACAAGACAAAAATGCAAATCTAAACTTCCCAAAGTAAGTAAATTTTTGGAAATTTGAGAGTGTGCATCGTAATCCATTGTGCTAGAAAAAATTTTTTAGCACGTTGTTTGAACAGATGTAGATTGCAAATAAAAGTCGCACACATGCATACATTCACAAGCACACGCGTACACACATGATCATTAAAAAAGCGAAATCTTTAGACTGTACTGAAATGCATTTATAAGCAATAGAAAAGCCAAAAGCCAACAATGCGCTAAAAATTAATTTGGTCAATTAGTAGTTTTCCAAATCCCAGAAGCGAGACACTCCATGTCTGCCTGTATTACTCGCATCTCCGTTTCTGTTGGAACTTTTCATATGTCTTTTTTAGAGGTACTGACAAAAAAAGTGCGCAAAATCTCTTTTTCTTTTTTGTCCTAGGTGTTGAGGCGGGTTTAGCTGAATGGAAGAGACATACAATGGGGAAGCAAAAATGTTCCTGTTGGAAAAATGTGGGAAATGAGTACGCAGTCATCGCATGTATAATCGAAAAACCTACGTTTCGATAGAAAGAATTCAAAAGGTGCCAATAAGAAGTTTGACTTGGTAAGATGGATTAGTGCGCGGGAAAGCAGCTATAGCATTTGTGTTACTCACACGAGACTGACATTCGGCGTACTTGATTTAAGCGACATTCAGCGCCTAAAAAAGGCACATTCGGCCAAATTACATCAGGTGGCAGCCCTAGCAGCATTACCCACGCATCTTGCACCGAAAATCGCACATTTTTTTTGGGTTAGTGATGAATCCATACGATTTATTTGTGTTGCAAACAAACTGCACAATAAGCTCTTGTGTGTTAGTGGTTATAGATAATCAGTGATGGGCGGGGTGAGCCCAGAAAATACGGTGGTCGGCTCCTACTCCTTTTCGATTTCGTGGATAGTTTTTTCCGGGTTTTTCGTATTTCCAAGCAAATTTTGCGCTACTAGTAATAACCTATGGGAAAATATTCATTATCCCGAAAACCGTATACAAACCTGTAGCGAAAAACCAGCCTATCAAGCGTCAATTTGCTGACCGGTTTTTCGAGCTTCAATTGCGATACTTGGAGAAGCCATCACTGAGAACTAGTAGAATGAAAAAAGAAAGCTTACTCATGTGCGGCAGCCGAGGTTACGGAGGAAGTGCGTGAAACTGAACGGCACGGAACATTGAATTCACGATCATCGATTGCTGGCCGATAGAGGAACGATTCACGCCGGGGTTGACCACCAGTGACACCGGGCCTCAGATGGCTTGCCGCCGCAGCGGCTGCAGCGGCTGTAGCCGAGCTACTGAAATCGCTCACGTTGGGCCGAAAAAAATGATGCAAATTGAGATCGCGTTTCAGACTTGCAAATGAGGCACGCTTCTTGCGTGGTTGTTGCGTTCCCATTATAACCAACAATCAGTCACACTTGTTCTTTTAGGTTTCTATTATTTTTTTTTCTCTTGTACTGCTATTATTCTAATATTTGCGCAACGAAGAAATTTTTGACGTCTCCATCTAATTCCACTATAATTGTAGTGCAGTA